GGGAGCATGAAAAATCAGTCCCATTTCGCTGGGCTAAATAGATTATTAAAGATATTTGTAGAGCTGGGGATGGAAGAGAGAGTATTGTTGAGGAGGGTAGTATTACGGAGAGGTGGAGAATAAGGCTGTAAAGTAGTAATAAGGGAGGATGGGGTAATTAATGAAGAAGGTTGTTGATTTAGATGTGATGAAGTTGAGGAAATTGGGGGAGTAGGAATGTCTCCTGGAGACTGAGTCTCAACTTAGATGGATAATGTACAAGTAGGCATTGAGGGGTGGGTAGTAGTTGCAGTATTCAGTCGTGGTCAAAGGAGAGCCTGGGGTCGGGGAACCAAGAGAGTTTGAATTAGTGAGGCTATCTGATGAATGGGGGAGCCTCATTGCCCCTAATAAGGATATTAAGTTTTCATTACTGGCCATGGGAAGCCTTGACTATGTTGGGGAAAGAAACAGTCCACCCCTCAGGGTCCCCTAGAGGGGTAAGGGCTAGACAACTAAAAAGGGAATATCATGCCCATGGCTTCCTCGGGCAGTTCAGGACTGGCACAAAGTCTGCCTTTCATCCTTTTAGTACGGCTCTTACACCTTAGGAAGTGAATAGTAGAAGAGGTTGGAGAAGGGACAGAAATGAAAGAGCAGGAGGGAGAAAAGACCATGCAAAATTAGTTGAGTAGAGGGCTGAGGCCCAAGGTAGGGGGGATCCCCAAATTTGGGTCCCAGTCCCCATCTCCTAAGCCCCCCCCGACAACAACAGGCAAGGGATTGGGGGGTTATTGTAGCAAAAAGGATAAAATGAGTTGATGATTATGACAAATGTGTTAGTTTAGTGCCTTATAGGATAGTATGGTAGTGAAAAGGGTTAAATGAGGGAGCAAATGGAGTAAGGTGGGGATTACTAAAAGGGGAAAAAGGGGTTAAGGGTGAATAGATCAAATTAATATATTCTATATTTTGAGAAATGAAGAGGAATCTACTTGAGGAACACTGGATATTGACAGTTATTTTGAATGTAGAGGAAATGGGAATAAAGAGATCAGAGTTTCAATGAAAGAGAGCGAGGTGTTTTCTTGGGTCATTTTAAGGAAGTTCTGGATGTCCTCAAAAATTATTGGATGGGAGCTGGGTGGAGGTCTGAGAAATGGTTTTCTTGTGAGAAGAGCAAATAAAGAGGATGTTGTAGAAGATGGGTGGAACATGCTAGATTGTCTGGTTCAACAAGTAAAGTGAGAAGGAGGGATAGGCACCAAGGAAGTGGTAGAGATTAAATCATCTGCAGAGAGGGAGAAGAGGTAGGATGGTAGAGTAGGGAGACAAGACGCTAGGGAAGACGCTGAGTCATCTTAAGAAGAAGGGAGAGGAGCAGAGTGATCGACAGCATTGGAATAGGTATCAAATAACCTTGTTGTCATGTTCTCTATCAGGCCTTACGTAGACTGAGGCCTACTTTGAATCTGAGAACTCAGACTCGAGCCTGTAGGAGGGTAGCTTCTATAAAATACATTATGAGAGCCACCACAACCACAACTGGCAAATATGCAAGAGCAATTTGAGCATGCTGAACAGTCATGACCAGGTTGGGCACATAGAGGACAGCAGACTGCGGAGCAACAATGTTTGGCTCGGTGGCCAAAACAAGAACATTTCTGACATTGACGGGAAGGGGTCGATATGGTCAGACAGGGTAGGATACCACCAATATAAACTTCATAAGACAGGTTATATCTACAGAAGCTAATCATGGCAATATTGGTGTAGGACTTACAGTGGCCTCTGGGAGGAATAATGCAGCACTGTACTGCTGCATCATAGTTAACGAGGCAGGCAAGCAAGTTATTTTCTTTCTGACTAATCCTTGTCATAGACAGGGCAATCAGCTAGGAGATGTAAACAGTTCTGGTACATGTATTAGGGAGGAGTGAGATCAGTCAGGGTAGATAATGCATGAGCTTAAGACTCAGAAGTAACTATTATGTATCAATAACCAGAATGACTGTAAAAGGAAACTTTGCTTAGTTGTTTTTTGGAGACATTATTAGGAAATTCCACTTGACTTGGAGAAGAGAACCCAAAATCTTGGAGAGGTGAAAGGAGTAAAAGGACAAGGGCAGGAGGAAGGAGCAACGTGGAGTGAGGTAGTACAACGGTGAAGAGTAACAAGAGAGGAAGTGGTGTATTCTGATGGTTGATTAATGACCTTGATGGATGATTACGAAAAGATTGAGTTAACAGCAAGCATCAAGTAAAAGGTAGCAGAAGTAGTGGCCTGAGTCATGATCAAAGGAGAGGCAATGGTCAGGAAACCAGAGAGGTCAAATTTAGATAGGCTAGTTAGATCTCCAAATACTTGCATCAAGAGTTCATGACTCCAGGGGTTAGACCAGTCTATATACTGACTTCCTAGTTTGACAACCTAGAGCTACAAATTTCACTACCTAAATATTTACATTTCTGAGTGATTTTGATGTTCTAACACAAGCAAATATCATGGGTTCCTGGTTTTGATCCGGTGCTAAAGCACTGATAGCCACCATTAGAAGTTTTATGGGATTTATGATGATAACATCACTGGTAGAGTTACGGTCTGACAATATTCCCCATTTTTACTTCATACTGACTTTCGTTGACATTACTACCAGTAATAGTCCAGGGAATGAGTATTGAAAATTGTTGGTATAGACAAATTCTGGTCTCACTGCTAGTCACAGTAAGGGGTTCGACATTCCCGCTTCACTCTTTATAACACTCATTACCAGTTTACAATTTATTACTAGTCCAATAATACTTACTGGTATTCCTTTGAGTCTCAGGATCTTTCAGAAGAATTTGCCAGGCCCAGAGTTAAATGCTTTCTTGAGTTTGATGTAGGTTACAAGCAGCCCATGATTAAAATCACAATGTTCTAGAATCATTAAATTTTTCAATGATATAGTAGACTGTCAGATGCCATTAAGACTGTATGCAATTCTCAAGCAATAGGTCCACCACCAGACTTCACCAGTTCAGAGGGTATACCATAAATATCCATTAACTTTACATCCTTCACTTTTCTAACTCAGTCCGGGTTAGATGTTTCTTGATAAAAGAAGGAACAATAACAGCATCATTGTCCATACTAAGTGTCAGTGGCTAATATTCATACAAAATACACAGCCCAGCAATTGGCATTCTGTTTCTTGGGCATTTACTATGAAATACTCCTCATACTTCTCATAAAGATTCTTTGTATGCTGTTCCTTGTCCCTCTTCAGCAGTCTAAATCCTACACACAGGGATCAAGACTTACTGATCTATTTTGGATCCAGGGGACATGACCATCACATCACAAAAAAATCTGGCCAGGGCGATGGGACCATACCCACTTCCTAAGGTGTGAGAGATGTAATGGAAGGATGAAAGGCTAACTTATTGTCACTCCTGAATGGCCTTTGTACTCTGTTTGCTCTTCTTTCTGTACCCTTTTTACCAACATACTAACCTACAGCACTACAACCTTTAACATCTAATACACTTGGTCCTAATCATTAACTCATTTTCACCCTTTTTCACCAGAATGTTTTGTCATAATGCTATATGATCTTTGATGTCTGGCACATTATCTGTTTTGACCATTAACCATTCTGGGAATCCACAAACATCGCCTTATGAACCAAACTGCTATATTTTGAATATGCCACTAATTTCTTTTGATGTTGATGCAGCAGTAATTTTACAATAATTAAAATAACATAGGGAAAAAATATTTTAAAAATAATGAACAAATACACAAACAACAAAATATTACTCATGTTATTGTCATTGCACAAAGTTAAGGACTACCTAGAGATGATATGGAGTTTGTGTAAGGAAAAGTCTATTACTATCATCATACAGTATATCAAATTACATAAAGACATTGGAAAATTACAAATAAAATTTTAAAAAATAAATAAAAATAAATAATTCATTCATTCATTAAAAAAAAAAAAAATAATAATAATGTAGAAAAACATAACATTAGAGTGGAGGCAAGGAGCATTAATACGGCACATGAGTGAATGTGTGCACCCAGCCTACAAGCCACACACCTGGGAGAGACCAATCAAGCAAGCCTAATGCCCAGATTTTTGGCCATATGTGGGCTGCAAATCACCCAAATCCAATGGGTTTAATTGTTTTTATAAACCACTGTCAAATTATCTTAATGTCTTCACTACAAGTACCTCCCCCCAAAAAAAATCACAGTGTTCATAATGAATCCAAAGAATATTCTTAAGAGAAAAAATAAAACTTGGGAGGAAAAACAGAAGTCTCCCTGGGCCAAGGCTCCCTGTAAGCCAGTACTCCAGCTTAGAGAGGGGTGTCGTCACACCTGTACTTAGGTCGTGTTGACCAGCATACACCAAAAACATATTGTGACTACCTTCCACTGTCACATGAAACAGTTAGCATCCAGTTGCCTGGAGACAAATCTCAACCCAAGGTTCAAGGTTATTATCCCTCACCTCCTTCACTTCTAGCAACTCATGACCCATAAGCCAGACATGCCTCTGCATCCCATCATTTCCTTCAATGCCTCTTGCATTCAAGCTGATGCAGTTTTTCATTCCTTGTCTTGACACCATTTCTCTTGCTCACCTCCACTATTCCTTGGACTTCGTTATCCATGTCTGCTGTCTTGCCTGATACTCTGTTGAGCTTGGATGTTAACTCTCCTTTTCGTCAATGTCCCACTAGATGATGCTCTCCATATACTTTCCTTTCAGAAGATCTCCATCTCCCTCTGCCCACTGATGTCTGCCTGCAGTTGATTTGTCTATATGTGGACAAATCAAGGATTGCTTCTACTGCCAGGCATTCACCATTGCCATGGGCTCTTCTCTCTTGGCTAACTTGTCCATGGAACCCTTCTAGTCTGAGCTTCTCCTTTCCATCTCCCTTGGTTCTCCTCCTTGGATAATTTAGTTTAGCATTTTTTTAACATTTCTCCTTTTCAGCATACAGGAAACCTATACACAGTGAGATGTGCAAACTCTTCTTTTATTACCCAAATGTTACTCCACAATGTTACTCCTTTGCATCTGTGATTCCCTGTGTCTGGATGCATTGTTCAATCATTAAGCTGGGCTACCCTCACCATGTCTTCAAATCTGTGTTATCCAGGGCACAGTATACTTTCTACACTGAGGAGGTCTATTCTCTTCATTGCCCCACTCACCCTCTAAACTGTAAGCTTACCATTCACCAGGTAAACACCCTCTGCTACAACCTGGTTCACACCTGTTCTCCCTCTACTTTGAAGGTGGGCACCTGTAGTATTCCTTGAGCCTTGTGTGATAAGCAGTACTTTGGGGAGTCAGATACCAAATTCACTAGTTATATTATAAGTAATCCAGAAAATATTGTCATAAGTGAGAAACAGGCCATCAGATGGTTAGTCACCTACTTGTATTTTTTCCTTCCTCTGATGTCAACATCTGCAGACTGGTGGAATGAATCAGCTGCCCAATTTCAACCTTAACAGCACTTTTTCTCCAGCTGACAGTCTCCTTACTTTATCCTCTGATTGCTGCCTTATGCTGGCCACCCTTCTCACAGATTATCCAACCCTTTAACTTGATCTGAACTGCCTTCTTTTCTATTTACCTATGCTCACCTGCCATTCATTTACAGTGCACCTTCTGCAGGAGGATTATGAAACTGTTGTCTCACATTTCAATAAACCGAGTTTGTGTACAGTGGGTTTTTCTAACAGAGAATCAACACTAGATAGTTGGCAGACAAGAGGAGCACAGAAGTTCCACCAGCCACCACCAAAAGAATTTTTTTTATTTAATAATACTTTAGAGCATGAGTCCACATAGGAACTATTATCCAGGCAATACACATTGTAAAAGAGATTACTACTATATCAAAACTTCATTTAATACACACAGAACATTTTAAAAATCTCAGTTATTAATATTTTTAGTTTTTCCATGTGTTAAATACAAAAGTTGGAATGCCAATAAACAGGTTGCCCAACTCACTACAAAAAAACTCAATGCAGTAAGAAAATAAATATATAAATAGTCCCTGATTAAAACCTAGGAAGTACAGCAGCTTTTCTCCAACATACTTGATACTACATCTTATCATAGGTATAACTGTGGCCACAAGTTTTACAAGTTCGAGAATATTCATCTTCATCAGGAAGGTAGACTTCTTCACCATATTCATGTTCGTGTGTTTTTGTTGCTCGAGTGTATAAACTGCTTCTTACGTTCATTCTCAGCTCTGACAAAGAAAAGTGAGAGTAAATAAAGCATTCAGACATTATATACATATGCTGCCTCTAAAGTGTCTGAAAATAAATTGGGTCTTTTTCAACAAGAAATGAAATGAAATGGAAAAAAAAAAAAAAAAAAAAAAAACTTTCTCAATATTTAGTAACCATCAGAATACTCCTATTTTTAGCCAACAAATATCATCATGGCAAAGGTTAATGATGACAAAATAGTTTTTTCATTATTTCTAAAAAATAAAGATTAAGATTACTGAGGTATTATATTGAATAGTTGTCATCCCCACCATTAGTGTTGTTATACCCCATGGTCTAGTTCAAACCTACATGAGGCATCAAACACACCTCACTAATCAGTTGTACAAAATAGATGAAAAACAGCAAAACCATACACAGACTAATCAGTTGTACAAAGTAGATGAAAAACAGCAAAACCATACACTGTGTATGATATCTCTTGCAGGTTCAGCCTAACTGTTAAGGTATAGCAACAATAATGATATTGCCAATGCTTAAAACTACAATACTACTGAGAACAGTATTATCCATTACATTATTCCTTATTTTTTCTATCCACTTTTATCATTACATAAACGTAATTCATTCTTGAGCTCTATCTACAAACCTAATATAGAAAAGGTGTAAATGAAAATGAATAATTTCACAAAGCAAGGTATGGAATTATTCTGACTACTGCATACTAATTTTTGCACTGTGAAATTATTTTCAATCTCACATCTTTTCTACATTTGTCACAGTGAACTCAATACTACCTATACCAAAATTTGGGGTTCAGACATAACGAGTATCTACAGCCCACCTTTCATCTTCTTGTTGTACTTCCTTTGTTTACTTATTTCTCTCTGTTCTTCCTTCTTTTCCATAGCCTCTTCTATGGCCTCTTCTGAGCCCCACACCTCAAGAGCACGTTTCTCAATCTGAAAAGTATTTAGTTCACATGACTGAACATAGCAGTCTCTACCATCAAACACTGACCACACACATATCCATGCAGCATGTAGTCAAAGTTATGCCAGAGCAAGAGGTGCCCCATGGACTTTATATGTGACATGATAACCATGGGGCTCTAAAAGAAGGATCTCTTGGTATAGCATTATGTAGCATTATAACTGTTACAAGAAAAAACAAAAGAAAATAAAAGTGTCAAAAATAAATTACGGAAAGACTGGTAAATAAATAAAAAATTGTCATGATATTACTTGAACTGCAAGATAGGAATGGGGATGAAACAGCTAACAACATCCCCTAGGATCCATGTGTAATTTCTTTGTCTGGCAGTGATTTTAAACTCCCAATCACTGTATGAAGAATGGTTGAAGCTCCAGCACACACTTTATTAGTTTACCCTCCAGACACTATCAAAAAAATTAAGAATAAACAACTTACTCCCTTGCATCTGTGGATACTGCTTGTTTGCCCCCCCCCCTCCAAAAAAAAAAAAAAAAATAATAATAATAATAATTAAAAAAAAGAGAAAAATATGCAAGATAAACAGCCAATCCTAAGCTTAAACTCTGCAATGGAAAATTCAATAAAGTCTAAAATTCTCAATATCCTTCCTTCATAATCACAATGACAACAATGCTATGATTACTCACCTGTGATTTCAGGTATAACTTCATGTCACCCCATCTTGAATTGTGAGGGTTTTTTCTTACAATAAACTTTAGAGGCGGCTCTCTCTTCTCTAGATCTACATCCTTCAACAAGTACTCATTCTTGGCATCTGTTTTTGTGATGAGTGCATGCTTGTCATCATTATCCCTGTAAATGTAGCACAGAAAAGAAAAACATTTTCAGTAGATCTAGCTACCGTGCCAAGCAAAGACAAAATCCACATACACCACTATTAGTCTTGTCACTTTCTCTGCATTAAAAAATAATAATTTGTACAACAACTTTTGTTGATCTTTAATGCTTTGCTTTTCTTTCCTTTTCATTTTACTTTTTTAATTTCAATCATCCTGTTTCTTGAGGATTGCCTATAAAATCCATTACTTCAAATCTATCTTCTTGATCCCTATGTTTCCTCAACTTAACTAATCACTCTGCTACTTATCACTGAAATATATCATGTTTACAATATCTGGCTACACCCTCCATTTCTTGTGGTATAGGAAACCTCTTTTACATAATATGCCCTCAGGATAAACAATGATGAAAAAAGGAAATCTGCTAGAAGTAACAATAAGAATAGAACTAACAGCAATGAGATATGCTGATACAATGTCATTTAACCCTTATAATCAAGATGATGTGACTATCACATCATGAAAAAAACTGGCCTGAGGGGCAGGTGATGGAAACTTTCCATCATCAAAATTTCAGCTGAAGGCCAAGGTGACAGAACTGACTCACCATAAGTACACAAATCTCTAAGAGGTTGATTAGACTCAGTGATCATTTAAGAAGGGGCTTTTGCATCATTTCCACTGATAAACGAGAGTGGAATGTACCATCCGTAAGCCATGGTAGAGTGCTGGCTCCAGGCAGGACATGATGGAAAAAAAAACTAAAAATGCTCATGCAAACAAAGAGAAAATTACACTGGTAAGGGAAGGCATGGAGTCGTGTCACTGCACACAAGTGTTCATGTGCACCCGGTCTACATGCTGCACCCTCGGCACAGTGGCCACTCGAGTAAGCCTAATGCTCGTATTTTGGGCCCCCAGGTAAGGAAAGGTCATACTGCTTTATGACAAAGTACTGTAACCAAAAGGTAAAAAATTAGTTAACAATTAGGACAAAATATCTTAGATTTCAAAGGCTGAGCACTATGGGTTAGTGTTAGTGAAAAGGGTGAAGAGGGAAAAGCAAACAGAGTACAAAGGCCATTCAGGACTGACATAAAGCCATGGTTTTTGTACAAGGATAAGGTGGGGACAGTAAATTTGGGCTACTTATCAGTTTTGTAAGTACACAGATTCTTTTCAGGTCAGTTACAGTGATTCTTTTGAGGGGAAGAGGTTTCTCTTTTTAAAAATGGCTTTTGTACCATTCCATTTTATATTTTGCAATTGCTTGACTAGTCATGAAGTTAAGATATTTTTACTGAGAGTGAAGCCTTTTGGTATAAATTTTGAAAGATTTTGTAGGTGAGGGACTTTTTTTTACATATGTGTATTTACATTTTTTTCCTTTTTTATATGAGAAGGTAATACTGAAACTTTCATATTTATACACAGTACAGACAAGATCCCCACCCCAAAAAAATACTCCTCCCCGCAAAAATAATCAGTCTGTTTTGATTCTATTCGAAAGAAAGTTACAAAAAGTAGAGAATGAGTTTTCATTGCATAATATCATACTTCTATCACTTTATAATTATATATAAGCATTTATATGTCTGTCTGTCATTTTTGAACATTCATAAAAAAAGGAATGGGGATAAAATCTAATAATCAAGTCTCAAAATACCTTTACCTTACATGCATTCCCATCATTATAACACAAGCATTCTGTTGCCTGAGAATAGTTTATCACCCACCACTATGTCACCTGTAGGGATTTCTCACTGACCAACCCATATCTTTCTTCACCAACTTCACCAAGTTTGGAAAACAGGCTTCTTTGTCACATAAAGCAAAGTGCTTTCTGTTGCAAAATGCAGTTAGAAAGTCTATACTATAAAACTGTGCTTTAAAAAATTTTAAAGTGAAAGTTTAGTACAACACAAAAATGGAGTCAGAATACAAAGACTCCTTGTTTTCAGCAATGGTTTAGTTTAGGAAAAATATATGATGCATGGAATTTGAAGATAGGCCCTGGGGATGCTGGTTCTTAAAGCATTTTCATCTAAATCTACTTAATTACCCACAATAAATCATCAATAAAACTGTATATGGGTGGAAATTTGAACACTAAACATCAAAAAAAATTCAAGGTTTGTGATTTGTTAGATTAAAAACTATGTCACCTGTAGGGTGGACTATTATAGTTCAAAGGTTGTCTCCCAGTAGGACTTCAGCCTCTTTTCTGTAGTCCCCTGCATTTGGCCTGGGAAACATCTGCTGGGTTCTTACATCCAAAGAATCTAGTCTCCCATCTGACCAAAGACTAGATAATAAATTTCATAGTTCACAACTTTTCTATTAGCTAAAACTTCTGCACTCAAAGTGATTTTAATCTCTCCATGCTGCTGAGCAGCAGATGAAGTCTTGAATAAATGAATTAGGGACCACTATACTACATATGCACTAATACATGACTTTGCACAATACAAAGCATTACACTTGTAATCCCTGTTAAGCGTGAGGCTCATCATTCTGTTTCGCGTTGTTCAGGAATCTCTTTCATTGTCTGGTGGGTACTCTACATAATCATGAGCCGTCACCTATAGCTCAAAATTGGTCGTTCCAGGTGCTTGGGAGACCGAACTGTCCACCCCTTCTTATATAACAATAGTAAAACACAAAGGTAAACAACTTTTCATGTAACAGAGAAGCCTTACATTCTCTCCTAAAAACTCTAAGACCTTACTTCATTTTTCACTACACATGCCCCCCTTCCTGGCAACATTTACTTGTGAAGTCTGTAAAGTCGTGCCAACAAAATTCATAGGATAATCCGAGTCACCAATAATTCAAACATTCTCATTTTTAGAACATAACTGGATAACAGAAGCAGACTCATAATAGAAAATGGCCATAAATTTTGATTATACGCTATACAACACACTAAATCAGAAAATAGAGGACACTCCATAGTGTTATCAAATTGCTAACCCCCTTGCATTCAACCCAAGTTTCATATCAATAAAAAGGCCTCATACATGCACTCATAGTTTCTCTAAATAATGCAGAAAAAAATAAGACTTAACAACTTCTCGTCATTGACATCCTATGCATTCTATCAATTCATGGTAAACCAAAATTCAATTCAAGATGATGTCCTCGTATCAAGCGCAGTCAAGCCTACTCTTAGTTGTGCACCCTAAACAGTTTTGCACTTGTTTGCCGTGGCTGTATTCACTGAATAGAAAGAGCCTCTCAAAAGTAGGCTTAAAGCCTTCTGTCACCATCACTACTTAAAGAATTGTTTATGCTATAGCCAAGACCATAGAGAGTGGGGTAATTTCTCCTGCAACTGATTTTTCCCTTAAGAGCTCACTCCACATGCACCTTGACACAATGTTTAGTATGGCACTGGGGGCTCCTGTTCTGACTGGCTAATAATTACATAAATACTTTATTACCACTGTAAATAATAACCTAAGAATGCCAATTAATTAGTCTTAAAACAGCTGGTAATGTCATTTCCCATTTATGATCAAATAACTAACAGATACACTCACAGCTAACCAAACAAAATAAGCTGAAATAGACTAAATTAAACTCTGAGCCTCAACTTCTTAATTCAACCCATGCAAGACAGGTAATATTTCAACAAAAATTTGATGAGGAAAGAATGTAATAGCATGCACCACTCCACCCATGGGCTATTATCTGGCTCTCAGCTGAACTCCTAAGGCATCATCCCAGCCAGTAGGACCCAGGCTCAAGAACTTCTGCAAAAGATAAGGAGACTAGCCAGATGAGCATGATGTGTGGCCATAAACACAAACAGATGAGCCTTCCCGTCTTTTTGCTTCCATGGTATGCAACGAGCTTAGTACATATTACTCTACTGTAAAGGTCCTAACCACACCCTAGTAAGAGCCACACCCAAACCTTTCCTCCTGGTTTTATTTATTCCTTTGTGAACCATCAGCCTGATTTTTAATCACTTTCTTATTACATTTACGGAAATACTTCAACATTACAATGACAGTAGAAGCAAATGTAATAAAAAAATCTTGCAGGAGGTTCCACATCTCATATATCCTCAACATACTAGAGTGAGTACCTACTTAAGTTATAAAGGGAACTGCCAGGTGATGCCAGTGAGCCTGAGATCAATAATTGTAAATTCATGTCAAACTATTAATTATGATGAGTGTAGAAAAGGTATGAATAAGAAGGCATAATTCTACAAAGCCAGAAAAGTATCATTTCTATATCATATTACATCTTTATCAAAACTACATTATTCTGATGAAGATGTAATAATTACACATGATGAAAAGTTAAATTATTCATTTTTCTTCATACCTGTTCTACAAAAACATGTCATCACATCACCTACCTGCACTGATCACACACTCGATGGTCAAAGTTGTGAAATAGAAATGAATTGTTGAACGGATGATCACATTCTAAACAAAATGGTCTGTCCTCTTCAAACAGTGGTGCTGGTTCTGTTACCAATTTCATCTGTTGGAAGGGAACATTTCATAAACCCACTAACTAGGGTGTATTTTGAAGCCGAAAATAATATTTTCTGGGCAGCTACAAAATCAGCACCCAGGGCCGGCCCCCGAATCTGCCAACGTGCCAGCTCCAATCCAACGTCACATTGATGGGACACCCGGCAATGTTTATTTTTCAGGGTGTCTCATATATGGGACACCCGGCAATGTTTATTTTTCAGGGTGTCTCATATATGGGACACCCGTCATAAATGGGTTAAAACAGGAGGTTATCCCTTATTTCAATAATTTTGATTCTTACAGTTCCTTTATCTATGTAACTTATGGAGCAAATTCCATAAATATTATTATTCTTTTCCCATCATCTCTACATAATCTTTAAGTTATACAAACCAATGCATTCTTTCTAAATGACATTACACCATTTTAAATCTCTATATAAATTACTGAATCAAAAGAGTTCCTCCCATGACCTATATTTCAGAACATATACTGTAAAACTAAAGAGCAAATGTTTGTCCTCATAGTATTTTTTATCAAAGGACATAACTCTTGACAAGTTTGCAATCCAATTAACAACTACAACCAAAACATACACAGATCAAAATACATCTTTCACTTACAGCAGCATCTATGTCATCATCTGTGATCTCATTGGCAGGGGTTTCATTTTCCTCAATAAAGAAGCCACCACCAGTATCAATCAATTTGGTGTCTTGCATGCGAATCACCTTTACACTTTCCTTCTTCTCTCTGGAAAATACATTTATAATTTACCATGCTTATCAACATATACATATACAAATATCTCACATACCACATGCATATCACATACATACTAATAACAATAATAACATGATGAATGATCACTGACTTCATATACACATTAGCAGAACAAATTTTGACCAGTGACTTACACTGACAATAATGAGACCTATGGCTGCCAAGATCATATACAACTGATTTCTTAAACTGAACATTCCATACAATTTGTCAACTTCAAACTGATTCAAATAGCTGAATTTTAACTGGGAAAATAATTGGTGATGTAAAAAACTGCATAAAAATACAAAAAATCCCTTCAGAAAAAAGAGGAAGAGGGAGAGGGAGGGAGGAAAAGAGAAAAATGGAAGGAGAGAGAGAGAGAGAGAGGAGAGAGAGAGAGAGAGAGAGAGAGAGAGAGAGAGAGAGAGAGAGAGAGAGAGAGAGAGAGAGAGAGAGAGAGAGAGAGAGAGAGAGAGAGAGAGAGAGAAGAGAGAGAGAGAGAGAGAGAGAGAGAGAGAGAGAGAGAGAGAGAGAGAGAGAGAGAGAGAGAGAGAGAGAGAGAGAGAGAGAGAGAGAGAAGAGAGAGAGAGAGAGAGAGAGAGAGAGAGAGAGAGGAGAGAGAGAGAGGAGAGAGAGGAGAGAGAGGGAGAGAGGGAGAGAGAGAGAGAGGGAGAGAGAGGAGAGAGAGGAGAGAGAGAGAGAGGAGAAGGAGAGAGGGAGGGAGAGAGGAGAGAGAGAGGAGAGAGGAGAGAGGGAGAGAGAGGAGAGAGGGAAGAGGGAGAGAGGGAGAGAGAGGAGAGAGAGAGAGAAGAGACAGACAGAGAGACAGAGACAGAGACAGAGAGACAGAGAGACAGACAGAGACAGAGACAGAGAACAGAGACAGACAGAGAGACAGAGACAGAGAGACAGAGACAGAGACAGAGACAGAGACAGAGAGACAGAGACAGAGACAGAGACAGAGACAGAGAACAGAGAGACAGAGACAGAGACAGAGAGACAGACAGAGACAGAGATCAGAGAAGAGACAGAGACAGAGAGAGACACAGAGACAGACAGAGAGAGAGAGACAAAGAGACAGAGAGACAGAGACAGAGAGACAGAGAGACAGAGAGAGAGAGAGAAGACAGAGACAGACAGAGACAGAGAGGCAGCGAGAGACAGAGAGGCAGCGAGAGACAGACAGCGAGAGCAGAGAGAGGCAGCGAGAGACAGAGAGAGGCAGCGAGAGACAGAGAGAGAGCAGAGGAGAGAGAGAGAGGCAGCAAGAGAGAGAGAGCAGCGAGAGAGAGAGAGAGAGCAGCGAGAGAGAGAGAGAGGCAGCGAGAGAGAGAGAGGCAGAGAGAGGGAGGAGGGAGAGAGGGAGGGAGAGAGAAGGGGAGAGAAGGCAGAGAGAGAGGGAGGAAGGCAGAGAGAGAGGGAGGAAGGAGAGAGGGAGGAAGGCAGAGAGAGGGAGGAAGGCAGAGAGAGGAGGAGGGGAGAGAGAGGGAGCAGAGAGGGAGGAAGGAGAGCAGAGAGAGGGAGGAAGGCAGAGAGAGGGAGGAAGGCAGAGAGAGGGAGGAAGGCAGAGAGAGGGGAGGAAGGCGAAGAGAGGAGGAGGAGGAGAGGAAGGCAGGCAGAGAGGAGGAGAAAGAGAGAGGGAGGGAAGAGAGAGAGGGGAAGGCAGAGAGAGGGAGGAAGAGAGAGAGAGGGGGAAGAGAGAGGAAGGCAAGAGAGAGGGAGGAAGGCAGAGAGAGGGAGGAAGGGCAGAGCAGAGGGAGGGAAGGCAGAGAGAGGGAGGAAGGCAGAGAGAGGAAGGGAGAGAGAGGGGGGAGGAAGGCAGAGAGAGAGGGGGAGGACGAGGCAGAAGAGAGAGGGAGGAAAGGCAGAAGAGAGGGGAAGGCAGAGGAGGGAGGAAGGCAGAGAGCAGGGAGGAAAGGCAGAGGAGAGGAAGGGCAGAGCAGAGGCGAGGAGCAGAGAGAGGGAGGAAGGCAAGAGCAGAGGGAAGGCAGAGAGAGGGAGGAAGGCCAGAGAGAGGGAGGAAGGTAGAGGGAAGGGAGGAAGGCAGAGAGAGAGGGAGGAGCAGAGAGGAGGGAGGAAGGCAGGAGAGAGAGGGAGGAAGGCAGAGAGAGGGGGAAGGCAGACGAGAGGGAGGAAGGCAGAGAGAGGGAGGAGGCAGAAGAGTAGGGAGGCAAGGCAGAAAGAGGGAGGAAGGCAGAGAGAGGAGGAAGGAAGGCAGACGAGAGGGAGGAGAAGGGCAGAGAGAGGGAGGAAGAGGGAGAGACGAGAAAGGGAGAGAGAGAGGAGGAAGGGAGATTAGCAGGGTAGGAAGGGAGAGAAGAGGGAGGAAGGGCAGGAGAGAGGGAGGAAAGGCAGAGAGAGGGAAGGGAAGGCAAGAGAGAAGGAGGAAGGCAGAGAGAGGGAGGAAGGCAAGAGAGAGAGGAGGGAGGGAGGGAGGGAGTGGAGGC